TTATACTCATTTAACACAGTTCTAGCCATTTCCTATAAAATCAGATTCTTCCTATCAACAATCCTATTTTGTTCTGGTGTTCGAGAAGAGTAATACTCACAAGTGATAATTTTATTAGCATAAAATTCTTGAAAAAAAATTATTCTCAAATTCACCTCCATGATCAAAATGAATAGTATGAATAGAGAGGCCTTTTTCATTTTCAACCCTTTTTTAAAAATTCAAAATTTTAAACATACACTCTTTTTGACTAGAAAACATGACCTATGTAAATTTAGAATAATCATCAACCACTACTAAACAATAACTCTTTCCTCCTAAACTCTATGTGGACATTAGTCCAAAAAAATCTAAGTGAAGTGATTGCAAAGATTTAGAAATACTCACTAAATTCTTCAAATTAATTATAAGAGGATCTTATATATTTGCCTTTCATACAAACCTGAAAAAAAACTCTTAATTTTAAAAGTACAGATAGGCAGACCTCTAACTAATGCTTTCTTTGAAAGTGTTTCTATCAAACTCATGTTTGCATGTCTAAGCCTCTTATGCTAGAGCTCGCTATCCTCTCCTCCTGCAGCCAAGCATTTTACACTATTATATTTGATATCGTTAAAGTTTTATGTGTATACATTAGCATTCCTATTTCCAGTAAAGATAATCAAACCTATTTTTGAATCAATAGTTTTGCATATAATATATTCGAAAAGAATAGACATACCTTGATCACAAAGCTAAGTAATGAAAATAAGAGTATGCTTTAAACCATCAACGAGCAAAATCTAAGGAGTTTAAAAGAATCATTACCTATATCATCAACTCTTATAATTTTACCATTGTCATTATTTTCAAAAGTCACATCTCAACTTTCTTCTTGTCAAGACTAAGAAATAAATCTTTCTTACTTATCATGTGTCGAGAACATCCCGAATTTAGATACCATATTCTTTCATGCTCCTTAGCTCTCCATTGAACTTCCTTATCTAAATTTTCATCCTCCGAATCTTTTGAGATGTGGACATTGGCCATGAGATAGTGACCCCTATCATTCGTGTTCAAAGGGTTATCAATATGAACCCTTGTAGGTGTTTGCGTTGGGAACAAATTTTATTGCAGAATCCATTACAAACGTTTATCGATTACAATGAAAACAAAAGAGTGAGCTTTATGCTTTGTAAAACTTCTCTTTACAATAAAACAAGATTAAGAGTGCTCCCTAGAAACATACGCATGAACGTTTATCGTTTGCTGCTTGCGTGGGATCTTTACCTGTGCCGGGGGTGCGTTAGCCCGTGGACGACCGAATCACAGATCCAGATTGATCCGAAGAAGGCTTAGGGTTGATGTTTTGTTTTAGAAACAAGGACAGAAGTGGGTATATCAATAAGGTAAGATAAAACACTCTTCTCAAGATCAAGTCAAAGCTTAGATCTCGAGGAAACACTGAAGACTTTGAAGATTCCTTGAAAACGATGCAAGACTCTCTCTCTTACTCAAAATTTGTCAAAAAGCTCAAGTCTCTGCCTAGAATCCCCTTCGTCCTACCCTCCCTGCCCTCCTCCTCATGCATATGGGTGATAGGGAAGCATTTGAAGTCCCTAGAAGCAGTTACTGAAGATAGCAAGTCAAAACAAAGCCCAATTGACATCCTACATTTGCAAGACACGTTCTGTGTCTCGGAAGAAGGAGTTCAACACTCCCGTTTTGTAACTGACTTCGTACGTTTAAGTGCTAATATTTTTGCAGTTATGAGCGTGCTTTTTGTTTGTAACGGTCCTTCCACGTTCACACATGATCCCCAGCAGTTATGAAACCACGTGGACCACACAAAACCAAAGAAAACCGTCAACGGAAGTGTGAAACTCCCCCATAGTTTCCGAGACAGTTGGGTTGTCTCATAGTTTCCGAGACACATTCCCTGTCTCGGAAACTATGGGTTGTCTCATAGTTTCCTAGACACTTTCTTGACCTACGTGTCCATATGAGCTTGAGAGAAAAGCAACAGACCCAACGGTGGCTGTCTGCAAGGGTAACTACACATAAAAGGATTGGAGACAATACATAATGGAGGAGTAAGAAGAACAAATTAAAAAGTGAGTACTTATTGGCATCCCAACAGCCTCAAAACTATCAGAGATAAAACTTTTTCTTTCGGTTACCAATTGATGATTAAAAACAGTCGACAATGAAATTTATCAGAAGACATTAATATAAAACCAACAACAAATGTGTGGGTTAGACATCAGCCTGACACCGAATTTGGGTTCTTAGAGTGTAGAAAATGTCCCTTTGAAGTAATAACCTCAGAATCCACCAAGGAAAATCTTCAAATCCACGAAGAGCTTCGAATCCACGAAGTCAATATTGAAGAAAACAAAATTTTATTAATTAAAAGTTATTATCCTTTGAGGTTACATGACTCTTCTTAAATAGAAAAACAAATAAGACTCCTACTAAGACTAGAATTACAAAGAAATAGAAAGTATTAAATTCTATCCTAAAAAGACTCCTTATAATAGAGAAAACAAATCATGAGTCAAAATTGAATTTGTTTCCTAATCTAAATTGACTCTAAAATTGGATTTATTTCCTAATCTAAATAGACTCCAACTTTAGTACTAAAAGTAAACTAAAAGTTGATTATTTTTGGATTTTAGTCAAAACTAGATATTACTGATGAGATTTTAAAAATCTGACAATCTAGTTGGCTATGTATATATATATATAATATGCCAGAATTTGCCGTCTGGGTTGGAAGATATAATTGTTTCTTTGCGAAAGTAAATAATACGTATAAATTTGTATTTAGCTCGTAATTGTCCAAATCATTCATGAAATTGTCTGTTAAGCGTCCTGTATCAGTCTCCCCTTGTTGAAAGAAGCTCGACCCCGAGCTTATATTTGTTAGAATAATAGCTTCATTATTAAATAATTTTCTTCTCTTGCAACGATCATCATCGGCCTTGTATTTAGCGTTGATTTTCTCCATTTGTTCTTTTACCTCCTCTGCTAGGACTTCTTCTGTATCAAACTTGTTTAAGAATCTTCCGCATGACATGTGTATGTAATTGGCAGCATGTGGATCTGTAGTTGACATGAAAAACTCTTCCAAATATTTTCTCTGCTGCTTCCCATATTCTAGTGTCGGCGGTATCATCTCATCGTTGTTGATCATTGATTCCAAATAAGAATTTTCTCCCTCATACTCTATACATAATTCTTTCATCTTCTTTGCCTCGAGCTCTCCACCAAGCAATTCACACATACCATCAAATCCCTCGCTCTCTATTTTATCCTTCTCCTCCATCGGGACAATATCAATATGTGTAACATCACTCACGATATCATGTAGAATATTCATCTTCATTAACATATCATCATCAACATCAGGAACCTTAGAATGAAGCTTGATGGTGGCAAAATTTTCCTTTCCGGGGTGAGCGTCTTACTGTTTGCCACTAGAGAAGCCTTCTCCTTAGCAATCTTTGTCTTAAATGCATTAGGTTCTATGATTGACATAATTGATGAAGTCTTTATTGGTGCTTCCTCGGTGCTCTTCACAAATCCGGACTCTTTCTCAGAGATGAATTGATGTTTCTTAATTTTTCCATAATCATAACTAGTTTGATAACTCTCTAAAAACATCCATGATAAAGGTCGTATGTCGTTCTGCTCAAGTTCTCGCTCCACCTTCTTTGCTAGACGGACCGTAGCGGCTAAGGTAAAAGAACCTTTTAAAGGCACCTCACATTGCTTGTAGTTAGAAGATAAGAAACAGTCTCTCAATAATTTCTTCCTCTCTGCTCACATTCGAACCAGATCCTTCCCTTGATGGTATCGATTTATCAGTACTTCATCCTACCATGCATATGCTTTTTCTTTAAGCTTGTAGACCACTAATTTAACTTTCCAACATTCTAGGATTATCTTATACTCAAAATACTTATCCACTTTATCAATCCAATCAAGGAAATCATCAGCATGAAGCTTTCCATTGAAGGATGATATTTTTAATCTTCTAGTGTCATAATTGTTCTGTCTTTGGTGGTCTCTGCGATCATAACTGCGGCGTAAGGCTTCATAGTCATCATTATTGAATTCATCATGTGGAGTCAGATCATGTCGTTAGCGACCATCAACGCGATTTCAAACTCCTCCCGTGTTCAGACGCTCCACTGTCGACGCAAATCGTTCTATGACAATCTTCATCTGATTAATATCGATCTTCAGCACGTCGAAATCAGTTCGAGAAAAAGGGGCTTCATCATCTGCCATCGGATCGGAGGAACAAAGCTCTAATACCAATTGACGCAGCGCGGAAGTAGTAGCCTCGGAATCCACCAAGAAAAATCTTCGAATCCCCGAAGTCAATATTGAAGAAAACAAAATTTTAATTAATTAAAAGTTATTATCCTTTAGGGTTACATGACTCTTCTTAAATAGAAAAATAAATAAGACTCCTACTAAGACTAGAATTACAAAGAAATAGAAAGTATTAAATTCTATCCTAAAAATACTCCTTATAATAGAGGAAACAAATCATGAATCAAAATTGAATTTGTTTCCTAATCTAATTTGACTCTAAAATTAAATTTATTTCCTAGTCTAAATAAACTCTAACTTTATTACTAAAAATAAACTAAAAGCTAATTATTTTTGGATTTCAGCCAAAACCGGGTATTACTGATGAGATTTTAAAAATCTGACAATCTAGTTGGATCCGTCTAATCGATATAGGCGATTTATATATATAATATGTCAGAATCTGCCTTCTGGGTTGGAAGATATAATTGTTTCTTTGCGGGAGTCAATAATACGTATAAATTTGTATTTAGCTCGTAATTGTCCAAATCATCCATGAAATTGTCTGTTAAGCATCCTACATCAATAATAAGATCGACGGCACCCAAACACATAGTCATTCAAATTGTATCCAAGATACGACGACAAGAGTACTGTATGTATTTATATCCGTATCAACAGGCGTGGATGCATGCTGCTGGCATGAAAATGAAACGTACATGTGTATATGTATATTATCCTACGTACTGCTGCTGCTAGAGCATCCGCATTATTACACATGTTTATTATATGTTGCGATCGAGCTACATGTATATAGATATAGATTATACATATGAAGAATTAAGTGATGACTCGGCAGCATAGCGGACGTAGGTAGTTAATTGAGAGTGGGGTAAGATGCGTCCTTCGCAATTCCACACAATCCCTCAGGCGCACCCACGTCCCTGGCCATCCTCATATAGCCTCCCTCTCCCCAAGTCTCCCCCCACGAGTTCTTCACCAGCCAATACTTTGTACCGTCGGCGGACTCCTCCGTTCCATAGCCGACCAGCGTTACAGCATGATCGAGATCCGTTCCACAAGGTCCAGTAAAGACCCCTCGGGAGTAAAATTTAAAGTCCGGTCCACCTCCGTCGATGGCAACCGAAACCGGTTGTGTTGCCACTGCCGCCATAAGTGCCTCCTCACTGTTTGCAGGAACTTTTTCGTAGCCGGTGATTGTGGCTGCAGATGTGGCGTCCGTGTTGCAAGTACCCTCGGTTGCGGTGTATGGGTACGTTTCTTCGCTTGCGATTCCTTTGTTTTGAATGATGTACTCGAAGGCTTCATCCATTAAACCGCCCTCGCATCCTCTGGTGACGCCGCCAGTGACGCAGTCGACCAGCTGCTGCTCCGATAGGGAGGTCAGGTTCCCTTTCTTGATCTGGATCAGGCCTTCGGTTGCTCCCACGGTGGAAAACGCCCAACAACATCCTGGAATGCATGTATATATGCAAGCACACATTGCAATTAAAAAGTGTATATGAGCTGGTAGCTCATTCCGTGACGTGGGTTGCCCACTAGTCTCAATAGTATTTAGGCCCACCTAGTTGCAGGCATGAGGTGGATTGGGGGCCTATTGTTTGCCGAGTTGGCAGCTCATTTTGTTAGATGAGTTAGGCAGCTCATACGTACTCATTGCTCCCATTATATATAAAGCCACAAACATACGTTTATAATTGACGATATATAGACAATTAAGTTTTATATCTATCTTACCACATTGGCCTTGGTCCTTTACCCCAGTAACCGCACCTTTCGCCCTCCAGTCCACGCTAGGAGGCACATCCGACATGTTCATCAACGTCTCATTGTTAGTTGCAGTTGCTTTAATAGGCTTTGGCTTAAATCCTTTGTAGTCTAGGATTATCTTATACTCAAAATACTTATCCACTTTATCAATCCAATCAAGGAAATCATCAGCATGAAGCTTTCCATTGAAGGATGATATTTTTAATCTTCTAGTGTCATAATTGTTCTGTCTTTGGTGGTCTCTGCGATCATAACTGCGGCGTAAGGCTTCATAGTCATCATTATTGAATTCATCATGTGGAGTCAGATCATGTCGTTAGCGACCATCAACGCGATTTCAAACTCCTCCCGTGTTCAGACGCTCCACTGTCGACGCAAATCGTTCTATGACAATCTTCATCTGATTAATATCGATCTTCAGCACGTCGAAATTAGTTCGAGAAAAAGGAGCTTCATCAGCTGCCATCGGATCGGAGGAACAAAGCTCTAATACCAATTGACGCAGCGCGGAAGTAGTAGCCTCGGAATCCACCAAGAAAAATCTTCGAATCCACGAAGTCAATATTGAAGAAAACAAAATTTTAATTAATTAAAAGTTATTATCCTTTAGGGTTACATGACTCTTCTTAAATAGAAAAATAAATAAGACTCCTACTAAGACTAGAATTACAAAGAAATAGAAAGTATTAAATTCTATCCTAAAAATACTCCTTATAATAGAGGAAACAAATCATGAATCAAAATTGAATTTGTTTCCTAATCTAATTTGACTCTAAAATTAAATTTATTTCCTAGTCTAAATAAACTCTAACTTTATTACTAAAAATAAACTAAAAGCTAATTATTTTTGGATTTCAACCAAAACCGGGTATTACTGATGAGATTTTAAAAATCTGACAATCTAGTTGGATTTGTCTAATCGATATAGGCGATTTATATATATAATAAGTCAGAATCTGCCTTCTGGGTTGGAAGATATAATTGTTTCTTTGCGGGAGTCAATAATACGTATAAATTTATATTTAGCTCGTAATTGTCCAAATCATCCATGAAATTGTCTGTTAAGCATCCTACATCAATAATAAGATCGACAGACACCCAAACACATAGTCATTCAAATTGTATCCAAGATACGACGACAAGAGTATTGTATGTATTTATATCCGTATCAAACAGGCGTGGATGCATGCTGGCTGGCATGAAAATGAAACGTACAATGTGTATATGTATATTATCCTACGTACTGCTCTGGCTAGAGCATCCGCAATTATTACACATGTTTATTATATGTTGCGATCGAGCTACATGTATATAGATATAAGATTATACATATGAAGAATTAAGTGATGACTCGGCAGCATAGCGGACGTAGGTAGTTAATTGAGAGTGGGTAAGATGCGTCCTTGCGCAATTTCCACACAATCCCTCAGGCGCACGCCACGTCCCTGGCCATCCTCATATAGCCTCCCTCTCCCCAAGTCTCCCCCCACGAGTTCTTCACCAGCCAATACTTTGTACCGTCGGCGGACTCCTCCGTTCCAAAGCGCCGACCGCAGCGTTACAGCATGATCGAGATCCGTTCCACAAGGTCCAGTAAAGACGCCCTCGGGAGTAAAATTTAAAGTCCGGTCCCACCTCGCTCGATGCAACCGAAACCGGTTGTGTTGCCACTGCCGCCATAAGTGCGCTCCTTGCACTGTTTGGCAGGAACTTTTTCGTAGCCGGTGATTGTGGCTGCAGATGTGGCGTCGCGTGTTGCCAGTACCCTCGGTTGCGGTGTATGGGTACGTTTCTTCGCTTGCGATTCCTTTCGTTTTGAATGATGTACTCGAAGGCTTCATACCATTAAACCCGCCCTCGCATCCTCTGGTGACGCGCCCCAGTGACGCAGTCGACGCAGCTGCTGCTCCGATAGGGAGGTCAGGTTCCCTTCTTGATCTGGATCAGGCCTTCGGTTGCTCCCACGGTGGAAAAGCGCCAACAACATCCTGGAATGGCATGTATATATGCAAGCACACATTGCAATTAAAAAGTGTATATGAGCTGGTAGCTCATTCCGTGACGTGGGTTGCCCCACTAGTCTCAATAGTATTTAGGCCCCACCTAGTTGCAGGCATGAGGTGGATTGGGGGCCTAATTGTTTGCCGAAGTTGGCAGCTCATTTTGTTAGATGAGTTAGGCAGCTCATACGTACTCATTGCTCCATTATATATAAAGCCACAAACATACGTTTATAATTGACGATATATAGACAATTAAGTTTTATATCTATCTTACCACATTGCGCTTGGTCCTTTACCCCCAGTAACCGCACCTTTTCGCCCTCCAGTCCCGGCTAGGAGGCACATCGCGACATGTTCATCAACGTCTCATTGTTAGTTGCAGTTGCTTTAATAGGGCTTTGGCTTAAATCCTTTGTAGTAAGTTTTGAACTCCTCGTTCCGTTAAGTCCGCAACTCGGTTGACGCTGAGTCGTATACTTTCTTTCGGTCCGTCTCTGTTAACAGATTCTATGCGCTCGCGCACGTTCGCTTTTGAATATCTTGAGACGGTATTTCTTCTCCGCCGCGTCCTTGTATTGGCGCCCGGTGTTCAGCCATCCATTGTTCGTGTCGAACAGACATATCGTCCGGCCGTTGCCGTGGTGCGAGACGTCGCTGCTGCGCAAACCCACAAAGGCCAACATCAAACAGAGCCAACCAAACAGCCTGATTTCTTTGGGCCCATGTTTTCGAGGGTTAACGCGTACGATTATCCTAAATTATAATTGGTATCGAAGTAAATGTACCTGGTTCTTGCATGAAACCCCACAGGGATAGGTATGCTTATATAGAGGCTTGCATGGATGAAAGTGGGGGTTAGAAAGCTCTACGGAGTCCGTGATTAGCGGGGGTTAATAATTTGTCAAGGTCTTGGGTCCTTGAAGCAATGAGGAAAATTTTAGCTAATCAAGTGCGGAAAAGGTAAGCTAACCGAGTGAATACATACAAAACCCTCAAGCAAGCTAAGTTGGCTGTACCCATGCAAGGTAGCTTGAAGTCTATGTTCCATTTGCATTACATTCTTCTTCTTGAAAATTGGCTAATCAAATGGTATTGTAAGTTAAATCAATATAGGTCTTTGAATATTCAATTAACTAGCTTAAATGGATATGAGACTACTGAAGCGTAGAAGGAGCCAATGTTACGTTCCCAGTACTCCGCAGCGTAACTTGATGCCCACGGCAATGTGACACGTGCACGGACCACGTCCAAGCCTTCTACAGGCAATTCCACGTACATCATGCATGGAATAATATTTCAAGAAAATTAGTTTGTCGACGGGGCGACGGTCACGCCCCAGAGCCCGCAGGGCGGAGCCAAGTCTCACGTTGGGGGCGCCATTACGGCGCACACCCCCCACCCCCGCACGCCTCCAAAAAAAAAAAAAAAAGGAAAATAGGAAAAAAGAAAACAGAAAAATAAAAAGAAAAAATTAAATAAACATAGAATCAAGAGCCTATACGGGCATAGCAAATCAGTAGTCAGCTATTTTAAAAAAACCGCATAGGTGCGCTCTGCAATAACTTTCGCAGGATCAATTGGAAGTAACAAATTAAAAGCCTAAAAGGTACCATTCGCTGGCCCATCATGTATAAGTTAATTAGCTGCACGTCAACTGAAGTACCTATGTATTAACAAAATGATAGAATGGTGGGAGTAATTGTAAGGGTGCGAGCGAGATGGCAAGCCTAGGGGGGGTACTAATAGGATTGTTTACGATTTTTCCGGGCATAAAGAATATAAGAATATACAGCAGAATAAAATAAATAAAAGCAAATGAAATAAGGCTTACTAATTAAGGACACACAAGATTTTTACAGGGCGGTTCGAATTAATAATCCATGTGCCACTCTCTTTCTCAAGCAAATAGGCTTGCCTCAGTAGTATTAACACGTACATATGCCAAGAAGTTTTTCCTGGAGATCACCAATCTGATTCAGTAAACTTTATAAAGACTGCACGACCGCCAAAGATTTGGGTGAAACCCTTCGCCGTAGTGATCACAACACATCGTGTCAGGGGTCTGTACCCGCATGAAATTCTATCTGAAAACGCATGCATCTAACCTAACTCTCCACAAGTAGTAACATGTAGCCCTAAAGTAGTCCACCGGCACAATTAAGCACGTGGGCGGTGAGTTTTTTTTGGGCCCCCCGCGCCCGGCCGTCGTAAAAATAAGTTTGAAACAAACCAACAAAATATAGTTTAAGCACAGGAAATAGAGATAGATCTGTACAGCCTTTTCGTAGACAATACGTCCTTCAATGGACAAAGTGAGGCTTAATAAAGAACGGTGTAGATGATCAAATCAAGGGCAAACGTCCTCGCTAAGCGATCTAAAGATAATGAACGGCAACGATAAGAGTTTGATGAGGTTTTGGGGCTCAAAAACTTCAATCCAATATCTTCTCGAATCAAAATCCTAAAACTATTATTGCCAAATAAAACTATTAATTAATATCCTAGCAATATATAACAAGATATGAATGCAAGGACATAGAATTAAACTAAGAGCGATATAAATATGAGACAAAAGACGATATGAAAAATATACAAGAGAATAAATGCTCCAATGTCAAACACAAACACAAGAATATGTTCACGGAGTTCGGTCACCTTCGACCTACGTCTCCGCTCCTCACCCTCGAGGAGATACTCCACTATCAAACAAAAATAACTACACAATCGGTTTTCCAAGCTCACCGATAACTTCTACAACTCATACAATTGTCAATACACAACACACTCCTCTAAGTATTGGCCTAGCCCGTGTCACCTTTCTCAAGTGCTTGGAATTACTACCTCTCCCTAGGCTTTTATGACCAAGCCACTCCTCTTGGAATTGACCCAGTCTCTCCCAACTACTACTCTAAGGGCTTGTTTAGATTGAGGGGAATGAGGGTGAAGGGAAGTTAGGGGAACCATTCACCTCCATTCACCTTTTTTGGGAACATTTAGGAGGTGAAATTATTCACCCTAGTTCTCCTTGGTTCACCCCCTAATAGTATAAAATTTGTTACCCCCTAAATTAAGGTGTAACCAAGGGGAAGGG